CTACAAAAGAATTGATAAGCTTGGACTTCATTAAAATTAAAAACTTGGGCTCTGCCAAGGTCACCCTAAAAAAATGACAAGAAAAGGTAAAAGGTGGGAGAATATACCTGTAAAAGACACATGTGATAAAGGACTCTTATCCAAAACATACAAAAACTATTAAAACTCAACAATAAGAAAAAAAAAAAAAAAACTCCGTAAAAGGGTAAAAAACCTCAATAGGTAGCTCAACAAAGAAGATATACACATGGCAAATAAGCATAAAAAGATGTTCTGCACCCCATGTCATTAGGTAAATGCAAATTAAAGCAATGAGCTATCACAACTCATTTATTCAAATGGCCAAAATTTAGAATGCCAACACCTAATGCTTGTGAGGATATGGAGTAACAGGAATTCTCATTCATTGCTAGTGATAGTGAAAGACAGCATGTTCACTTGGGAAGACCATTTGACAGTTTTCTTATAAAACTAAACATATTCCTATCATATGATCCAGTAATTGTACTTCTTTGTATTTACTCAAATGAATTGAAATCTTATGTTTACATAAAAACCTACATGTGAGTGGTTATACCAACTTTTTCATAATTGCCAAAACTTGGGAACAACCAAGATATTCCTTGGTAGGTGAATGCATATGTAAATTGGTACATCCAGCAAATGGAATATTATCCAGGGCAAAAAATGATCTACGAAGACATGAAAGACATAGAGGAAACTGAAATGCATGTTGTTATGTGGGAAAAAAGTCAGTCTAAACGGGCTACATACTGTAAGAGTACAAGTACATGATTTCTGAGAAAGGCAAAACTATGGAAGCAGGAAAAACTTCGATGGTTGGAGGCAAGGAGTAGAATGAATAGGAGTTGTAGAGAATTTTTAATGCAGTGAAAGTACTATTTAGGATACCAAAACAATAAATATACACTCTTATACATTTGTGCCAATACTTATAAAATGTAAAAACACTGAGGGAATCCTAGTGTAAACTGTGGACTTGGGGTGATAATGATGTGTTGGTGTAGGCTCATCGATTTTAACAAACGTACCACTCTGGTGTAGAATTTTGGTAGTCGGGGGAGCTGTGAGTAGATGGGGATAGAGGACATGTGGAAAATACCTGTACTTTCTGTTCAACTTTGCTAGGAACCTAAAATTGCTCTAAAAAGACAAAGCCTATGAAACTTGGAATGAAAAAGACTGCATGGGAACTAAAATTCTGTTGAGACCTTCAGTGTTTGTAGAAATCCATATTCTATCCTCCTGTCATAAATAAGTTTTCTTGAAGCACAGTTTTATATTGACAATCATTATCCTCAAAATTATGGAGAAACTGTTCCTTTGTTTTTCTAATTTTCATTGCTGCTATTAGGTCTCAACCAATTTGGGTTCCTGCTTTTTAAGAGACCTTTTGCTGTTGCTGTTAATTGGGTTTGGTGTATTTCATTCATTAGCTTCTACATGCTGTGAGGCTTTTTAATTTGGAAACTCATGTTCTTCACTATTGTAATTTTGTTTTTAAATACTTGTCTCTTTCTCCAACTCTTTTTGTTCTTTCCTTCTGGTTTTTCTTTTTTCTTTTTCCCTTTTTTTTTTTTTTTTTTTTAACATATTGGACTTTGTGGTCACTGGGTTTTTTTTTCCCCTGTATTTTCTCCCCTTTTAAATATCCTATTTTATGAGTATAAGCACTTTCTCACTTATCATACTGAGGTCTTTTTTTAACTGCAGAGTTCCTCCAAAAGATTTTATGTTTTGCCTTTTTGACCTTACATTTCATGTTAGTCTTGGGTTTCAGTTAAATCTGGGGTTTCTGCTCATGCTTATGTGTTGGAGACTGATGGGAGTTGGTAGGTTTCATAGGTGGAACTTTTTGACTTTGAGTTTCATTGTAACATGACTGAGATGGACTGTATTTGGGGACCTCTGACAATAGTATACTTAAGAGTTTCTGCCTGGGAGGAATATTGTTTGGCATTCTTTTGGGCTGCAAGTTTAGCGGGGCAGAGGGTTCTTAGAATCAGTGTGTGTATGTTATGTGATCAGGGATATCACTATGATTCCCATGCTGGATAATAAAGATAAAAATTTTCAGCCATTACACACTGAATTGACTTTCTTGATTTAAAATCTACCATTGTGCTAGTTGTTTTCTGTTTGTTCCATATGTTCTGTTTTTCTCTTTGCCTACCTTTGTATTAATTTCTCATTGTTTAATGATTCTGTCTTACCATTATTGATTTATTTTTAACTTAAAAATGTTTAGTGTATGCCTTGAGTGTAGAACGTACATGTAGTCACAGGCACCTTCAAATAGTAATATACTGTTCATGAGGTCGTAGTAGTAGGTTACTGAAGCAGAGCCTGCAAGATATAAACACTCCTGTTGAATATTTGACTCCCAGAGGTTCTGTATTCTCATAGTCACCTCCACTCAGTACTTAGCAGTGTGTTGAGATTATCCATTTATTTCTTCTTACCTGCTTGTATGACATCTGCTGTCTCTTGTGGTTGTGCTGTACCGTAGGTGAGCTGGTGATGGTGTCCTCTCTGTCCTTGGGGGAGGCATGCCTTTTCTTAGATTTAAGGCTACTTGGTCATCTTGTGACCTCAGCTATGGTGGGTACAAGAAAAAGTTATGCTTTTGTAGTTTATGTGATTTTTCTTCAGAACTAAACATTTTTTCCAGCTTTCCATATCTTATACAAAAGTAGAAGTCATCATCAGTGTTATTGAGAAATGCAGAAATTCAGAATTTAACAGGTTATTAAGCATGTATTTTTTTTGAACTTCCTGCAAAAGTAAAATTTTTGTTGCAGAAATGACCAAAACCCCCCATAAATAGTTGTAATAGTAGTCTATACAACAAATGACAAATTCAGGCTACTCTTTCTGCCAAGATTGCTCAGCCTGTTTCCAGTATATATTCCATATATACCGGACCCAGAGTTTTCTGTGTTTCCCATTGGCTCTAGTGACTGGTATCCTAAAGACATCATACACTTTGTAGGCTGCTGCCATCTTGCCTGGTACAACATGTGATTGTCAGGAGTAGAGCATCAAGTAATTCTCTTTTCACCACCTAAGATAGGAGGGTAGTACCTGTTCTTGTGGTCTCCTCTCAACATGTACTTAGTGAGCACGTTTAAGGCTTTCCACAAATGTGTTAAATATCTTGCCTCTGAAAAGAGTAGGAAGAGGGCTATTGCTGGTCATCTTTGGGATTTGACCATGTGTTAAAGAGAGCATTCTGTTGACTGTATATAGATCTCAAATACTGCTAAATGAGTATGTACAAATGCGGGAAGTACAAAGAAGAGGCTTAACGTTTGTCTTACTTGAATATAACTAATGTTGATAATGCTTTTTAAAAAATTACAATGTCTAAGAAATATGTTAAGTAGCATATCATAAAAGAAGATTTAAGCTGAGAGACCATTCTGGTCAATTTGGGACTATGTACATTTGGTGGTTCTATTTTCTTGTCCATAACCTTAACATACCATTATAGTTAGAATTTTGAAATCTCTAGTACAGCAAAACAGCCCTGGAAATGGGTGCTAAATGTTGTACTGATATTTGTGGCCTTTCTGCAGCCTTCCTTACCTGGGGATGTTTGTTCTAAAACATAAATCTATCAGATGTCTGAAACTTCTCTGTATGCCACCTTTTGCCCTACAGGTATACCTTTCTCCTACAATTTTATTCAGTCTTTAGAATGAGATCAGAGATCATTTGCTTTGAAAGGCCTCTATAATGCCTTCACACAGAATTAAGTATTTTATCTCCTGGTCTACTTGTAGATATTCTAGTGTTGCATCTGTCATAGTCTGTTGCAAAATATTTGTTCAAAATCAGCTTCTTCTTTAAGATATGAGTCCTTGGGGAGCCTGGGTGGCTCAATCAGTTAAGCGACTGCCAAAGGCAGTCATGATCTCAGTCATGGTCAGGTCATGATCTTGGGGTCCTGGGATCTAGCTGAGCCCCACATTGGGCTCCCTGCTCAGCAGAGTCTACTTCTCCCTCTCCCTCTGCCCATCCCCACCACTTGTGATTTCTTCATCTCTTTCTCTCTAATAAGTAAATAAAATCTTAAAAAAAAATTAAAAAAAAAAGATTTGATTTCCTTGAGGACCTAATACACATCGCATTTATCTTTTAAATGCTTCTCCTTAATATAGAGCTTGGATATGATCAGGACACAGTATTGTTCAGCTGAATTGTATTGGTCATTTTAATGGTTTTGCTAAAAATCCTTAAAAATGTTGCTTGTACTTTATTAAATCTATGAGAGGCCTTTCCATTTTTTTTTTTTTTTAAGATTTATTTATTAGAGCATGCAAGCAAGTGGGGAGAGGGCCATGGGGAGAGAATCTCAAGCTGACTCCCAGCTGAGCATGGAGCCTGATGCGGGACTTGATTTCATGAGCCTGAGATCAAGACCTGAGCTGAAACGGAGAGCGGGAGGCTAAACTGACTGAGTCACCCAGGTGCCCCAGGCTCTCCTTTTTTGTCTAATAACAGAATACTGAACTGTTTTCATGTTCAAAATCAAAATATAAATTTTTAAGACATATTGACAAGTAAAATATTAAAATGAACAAAAGCTATGATTTGCAAATATTTTAATATAAATATAGCATAGGGGTTGGAGTTGGATGAATACATATATTTGTTAGATAAAATCCTGATACAAAAAAACTTCAGCCATACTTTCAGGCATTTTAGAAACATGTTTGGAAAAGTAGCTTATAATAAAAAAAAGTAGTCTATTTATTTGACTCCTGAAACTATTGAGGAAGTTCAAAACTTAAGATTGCAACTTACCTACTTCCTGTATCTTTTGACATTTAGGGCATAGGGACAATTATTATGGAACTTGATGAATCAGTACCTAATCAAAGATTTTTTTAGTTCTCTAGGCCCTTTTATATATTGATTATGAAATAAAACAAAGTTTTACTTAAAAATATATTTGAACTTTTTTTTCTACCCAGTGTAGTGACTATGACTTGGAATTTGGAACTGAGTGTTTGCAGTTGGCTCTAAAATATGGTCACATTAATGCCAAACTTGTGGAAGGATCACCTGACCTCTGGAAGGTAAGGAAGTTTGCATTTTGCTCTGGATCTTGGCTGTGTTTATAGGTCATTCCTAAGACACATTCTGCAAGTATAAACACTTTCCAGGTGCTTAAGAATATGGAGAGGTAGTATAAAAATGCTTGGTTTCATACTCATTAAGTATTTTGAGGTATAAGGGTATGTATATATGTATACATTAAAGGCATTAAGAGTTTTACTGGGTTTCCTGAGCATCAAAGTATGTATCATTTCTATTTCTTGGTTTGCAGAAAATTCACTTTGAGATAATTTATTCAAACATTCCATTTTAGCTGATAAAATGGTTTTATTCAATTTTTTTCTTCCCTCTCTATATATTCTTACATTCAGTTTCCTTAAACTCCATTGGACTGAGGATGAAACTCAGCTTTCCACAGTAGCAACATTTCCTTCCAGGCCCTGGAGGGTGGTAGCTCCAACTTAACTGGGTTCAAGAAATATCTGCCATAGTTCTGACTTAGTGGGATGGGTGACTGGACCCACTTGGTGGCCCCAATGAGGAGTTAGACTCTTGAATATAGTAAGGTTTGACTCCTAATGACCAACTTCTTTGTTTTCGAGGGAATGAAGTAATTAGAGCTGGAGTGTTTCACAGTGTGGCTTTCCTTTGTTCTGAAGGTAGAGATGTATTGAATTGAACAGTGTTTTCTGAAACAGGGTAGGGTAGTTTTATTTTCTGAAGTATTGCTGCTTTTGAAATACGGGATGAAACATATATTTCATATATAGAGAGAGAGCTTGGATATATATATATATTTATATATATATTTATTTAAAGATTTCATTTATTAGTTTGACAGAGAGCAGGAAAGCAGGGGGAGCAGCAGAGGGAGAGGGAGAAGCAGGCTCCCCACTGAGCAGGGAGCCCGATGTGGGGCTCAATCCCAGGACCCCGGGATCATGACTTGAACCAAAGGCAGATGCTTAACCAACTGAGCCACCCAGGTGCCCCAAGGGATGAAATCTTTATAAAGCATCCACCTAAATCTGATAAGGAAAGATTCATCCTAACTCTAAGATGATATGAACCCAAAAGCATATTTCCTCATTGACTTAAAAATAAAACAGAAAGCCCTATGAGTTCATTAAGTATTCTGTACAGTAATGTGATAGGCCTTGCCCTATGCTAAGATTGTCTCATACATACTTAAAATGACTGAAATTACAAAATTACAAAATATTGGTATGTCTGGATTATTGCCTTACACAATATTATTCTTTTAAGGATATCCGAATGTCTTCAACCCAGCAGGCAAACATTTTATTCATTTTGTGTATCCTTTTCTGTCTGTGGCTCAGATGGTAGTAAACATATTGTGAGGACTATGTTGTTTACCAATTAGGTGTTTTGTTACAGATCCTGACACTCATCTCTGTACAACGCCTTTTGGCTGTGGGCTAGACTTAATTTGCTGGCAACGGGAGATGAAAGTGGAAACTCACAGACAAGTTTTATTGCTGCTCACATGTTCATTTAATACTCTCTGGCCTCATTTTTGATGTTGTAGGGTGTGTGGTGATCTTTTTCTGTGGGTGTTCAGAGCCTATTTGAAACTTGTCAAGCCCTCTGAGATGTGCAGAGAGGAAAGTAACAGATTGCTCTTGAAATTTTCCACTTGTTCCTCACAAATTTATTTCAATTTTTAGATTTTTTTTTTTTTAAATCTTCTATTTCACTGCTTTCTCCAACAACACAGTATTAGTATTAGTTCTCACGTCTTGGTGCTCTGCTTCCCTTTCATGGGAACCAACTGTAAGTGCACTAAGTCAGGGATTGGCTTTCCCAGGACTTCTCCTCCTTTACAATGTTTGAATAATGGGACCTTGGATTTTAAAAGGGCATAGAATGCAATGGGTTGAGCAGAAAGTCTTTCAAATGGCAGATAGGAGTTCTTTTCTGGTACCATATTTCTTCTGATAATTGAAGTGAAATGATTTTGAGTGCAAGTATTACAGTTTTAGGGTCCTTGTTTCCTCTTTCTGCCTCCTGTCTCTCATCATCTTCTCCCACCCCCCTTTTTTCTTCTTTCTGATACTTCCCTAGCTATTGGTATAGCCCTCTAAAGCTTCTTGATGACATTGTATGAATTGTCTTCAGTATAGGCTCGTCATTTAATTTTGTGGTCTTGGCATTTTGTAAGGATAAAAGTTACTCGGTTTCTGTTTAAACCAAAGCAGTAATGTATACTTAGAAATTAGTGTTCTAATTCTATACTAACACCAAAAGTGCTACCATTTTTAAAAATTTGGATCTGAAAAAAGATTTAGTACACTGAAGCTAAAACCCGTACTGGACTCAGGTAGCTGAGCCAACTACATGGCTCATGATTCATAAATCTTGAAACGGTGAAAAATGCATTTCAGGAGGCATTTTACTACCATAAAAAGTAAGGCAAGGGATGATTCTGAAACACAGATCCAGGATACCTTCCCCTACCCCTCAGAAATCAGGGAGTTCACCCCCACAGTGGTATGAGGAATGACTAGAAATGTCTCATGCCTGCAAGTGGGACTATTTGAACTGCCATCAGAAATCCGGGGGGGTTATTTTGTATTTTACATACTTTTTTTAGAAGTAAAGCAAGAAATAAATGTTCAGAGTTATGCTATACCTCATGCAGTGGCTCCTTTGGGGCCTGGAGGAAACATTAATTGTTTAAAATCACCATGCAGGGTAGAGGACAACCCCCACTCCTCATGACAAAGACTAACCAATCATGGAAGAGAATAGGACTGATTTGTGGGATAGGAATTGGCTCTCATGCTTTCCCTGAAGGGTAGTGCCTTGCCAGACCTTGCCAGACACACTGTTATTTGACAAAATTTGACCCAGTGGACATAAAAACTTCCATTCCTTTAATTTATAATTGTACCATATTTTTGTCCCAATATACTTAAATACTTGCTCACTTTCTACACTATACAGAACTAATTGAACAGGCTTTTTGTTTCTAAATTTACAACTATCCTTAAGGCATAAAAGATTATAACCAGGAATTGAAGAAATTAAACTGTTCATTGTCTGAAAATACTTGTTTAGGAGGAGTTTCTGAAGTGTTTGAAATCATCCCATATTCCTGACTTTTCAGGAATCCTTTTGATGGGAACTACTTTTTTTTTTTTTTTTTCTTTTTCAGATCACGTGTTATGGCATCTTTGTTTAAAAACAAAAACAGGGATGCCTGGGTGGCTAAGTCAGTTAAGTGTCTGCCTTTGAGTCTTGGGATCAAGTCCTGCATCGGGCTCCCTGCTCAGCGGGCAGCCTGCTTCTCCTTCTGTCTGTCACTCCCCCTGCTTGTGCGTGCTCTCTCTCTCTGACAAATAAATAAAATCTTAAAAAAAAAACAAAAACAAAATAACCTCCCTTCCTTTAAATCTCAAAAATACAGTGTGGTAACATTGTTTCTTTTAAGAGATTTTCATCTAGTCTAGAGGAAAGAGATATTTTCTAGATAGACCTAATTGATGAAATGGAAATAAAACAGATACATCCCCAAATCTAAATTTGTGTCTAATAAACATACTATATTTTGTAAAATTTAATATTTTCTGACTTCTAATTATTGGAGCTACATACTCATTTTCTTACGAGTTAAAAGATAGGAAAAATGGGGACTAGGTGTTGTCTGATTCACGTAAGATGGTGGCCAACTGAAGGAGGCTCTGAAAAGTCTGTTACTATATTGTCAACACAGAGTGACACAGGTAGGTGTGATAGTGTGTGGAACCCACCTTGAGGCAGCTGAGGGAGGCCTGGCCTCAGAGTCAGAAAATTCGGTCTGGCTCTGAGTTTCAGGTTTCTCTTGTATTGAATATTATTTTCTTTTAGTTGCACACTTGACTCAGATGAACTATTACACAGAAGCACAAAGAAAAGAGACAAAAATTGAGCTTAACTAGGTGAGGGGCAAATGTGGGGCCCTGACCATTTGTCTTGAGGTGGCTTCTGAGCCTCTACTGAGCAATATGAAAATAAGTGAGTCAGAGGATGGAGGGCTCTCTTCCATCACTAAAGGGTTGAATTTTTTTTTTAAGTTAACAAATTTTCATAATGTATTGTGCAAGGTCCAAGGAAAAGTACAGATCATACTGACAGAAGGAAATCAACTTCAAACTGATTTAATAAACTTTTGAAAATTAAGAAAAATAAGGAAAGGGCAACCCATATTACTGTAAAAGTTTGACAGAAAAAATGTAACTCATCAGTTCAGAATTGCAACATTTTCCAGTACTGTTCCCTTTGAAGTACGTTAACTGTTTCAATTAGGAAAAAAAATAAAGCTATTTTTAAATGCAGTACTTTACCAGTTTGTGAGAAACATTTTGTACTTAATTTTTCTTAGATCCGTTTGGTGAGAAGTGGGTTGAAGTATTAAATAAGGCTTTATGTGGAAGATATTAGTAAACAATAAAAAAAAGCTTTAATCTGTGTGTAGTAGGTATCCACAACCTACAAGAAAAAGTAGACAAAAGGAAATTTAGTAGTCTTTCCTGATTATACAGTTAATCATAATAGTGGAGAAAGGACCTTTAGTTGATTCTAATAGGTAACTTAACCAAGAGTGATTGCAATGTAAAACTGTTTAGTCTTGCAGGAATGCTAGAAAAGGGATTTTAGGAGTTGAGACCAATTTTTCCTTAACTTAAAAAAATTCATCATTAAGATATCTTTGGGCAAAGAAAGTAGAAGTTACTTTCACAGTTGCTCTATTGTGATTTTGAATGCAGTTTCATTCCTCAAAGCCAAAAGGAATACAAAATGAATAACGGTAATTAGGCCTCTTCCTATTTCAGTTCTGAGTTTACCCTATACAGCAGAAAATTATTAAAGAAAAACACTGTTTTCTCATTTGAATTACAAGTATTGAAGCCTGATTTCGGTGATCTAGTTAACTTTGGGTTTTTGAGCAAAAAGAAGAAAATCTTTGATGGAATTTTTACAGGAAAATTTTTCTACGAAAATACTGTTTCCAGAGGTTAAGGAATTTTACTTATTCTTTTCATTGCTCTCTCCCCAAAACTTAGAACAGGACCTAGAACAGAGTAGTTATTTCATAAATATGTTTTGAATGAATGAATGAGATCAGTATATTGTTTAATTTGGTGAAATACATAGCATGGACCTTTAAATGTCTGTTTTCTATTTTCTGTCCAGATACTGGAATTTCACTGTGGATCAGTAACTATAGTACTAGTTTTGGTTGGCATGTACTTGTTTTGTCAGTCATATAACAATGTCATGCGTGACTTCAATAGTTTAGTTGAAGGCTCAAGCAATTTTCTATCTATTTTTTTAAGATTGATTTATTAGAGCACGGGAGTGGGGAGGGGCAGAGGGAGAGATCGAGAGAGAGAGTCTCAAGCAGACTCTGCCCTGAGGGCAGAGCCCAATGGGGGCGTAGGGGGCAGCTTGATCTCATGACCCTGATATCATGACCTGAGCCAAAACCAAGAGTCAGATGCTTAACTGACTGAGCCACCCAGGCACCCCAATTTTCTGTCTGTCTTACATGTTAGGTATTACTTGAATTGTCGATTGTAGGGTGATGTTTTGCACCAGCCATTTACCAGCCAGGATAAAGGCATAGCAGGGGAATCTAATTTTGGGTAGAAGTGCCCTGAGCAACTTGAGCCAAACAAAGTTTTTGTATAAGTCTAGTTATGAGATAGTCTGAAGGGGAAAAAATATGAATTATAGGCACAGAAATGTACTCACTTGGTAAGTACTTTTCAAAGTGGGTTTTTAGGGGCGCCTGGGTGGCTCAGTTGGTTAAG